AATGATACGACATAGTTCCTTAAAGAGTTTAGATTCGAACTGCGTCCCCTGGTCTGAGTTTATTGAAACTGGACATCCAAATCTGCTGAGCCATTCACGCACCAAAATAGAGGCTGCTCGTTCTGTCTTTATATCTTTCATTGGATAACCCTCCACCCATTTCGTGAAATAATCCTGAACTACCATAGCATAACGGTTTCCCCTCGGAGTGGGTTCAAGCTCAACAAAATCTAAAGCGATCTCTTCGAAAGGACGTCCCTCCACTGGGATGTTTGTTAACGGCGCTTTCATTTTAGCTTGAGGCATGTGCCTCTTTTGGCACTCCACACAACTCTTACACCACGTTTCAACATCCTTCAGATAACCACACCAGTAAAACCTCAGACGAACTCTCTCTGCTGTTCTCTCTGTTCCCAAATGCCCAGACATCACGCTGTCATGTAATTCTTCCAGAACAAGTTCCCTCCAACATAAAGGTAGAACTATTTGCAGGATGGGTTTAAGTCCTTCCTTTCTTGATATCTTCCTGTACAATATCCCATTTATTATTTCCAATAACTTCCTTTGTCCATAAAGCCATTTCACTTGTCGGTCACTCTTCTCTAATGAAGACTCAGGCTCCTCCCCATCAAGACACTTAATTACTGGGCCAATGACTGCATCATTTCTTTGATCTTGCTTGAGAACTGTTGAATTCAACATGGACTGAAATTCTTGTATCCTTTCATTGTTGGGATTAACTTCCTGTTCCACACTCATATTCTTCTTCTCCTCTACATTCTTATCTGTTGCCACTTCACTAGGTCTGCTGTCTATGTTGCATCCAGGTATGACCTCCTTAGTCACCAATGTAGGATGTGTACAGGAAATGTCTGGTATCTTCACTTCTACCTTCTGAAGCTGTGTGTCTGGAGCTACATTTTCTGTATTTCCTGTCTGAGTACCTCTTGACTTGGTAGGAGCAGAGAGATCCTTCTGGTCTTCTAGTCTTGACAAAAAATCTGCATTGTCATGCTGCGTACCTTTTCTGTACTGAATCTCATAAGGGAACTCTTCCAAAAGCATGAGCCATCTGGCCCATCGACCCTTTGGTTCCTTCACTTTTCTTAGCCAAGTCAATGGATTATGATCCGTTCTAAATACAAATTTTGTACCATGAAGATACTGTCTAAATTGTTGGACTGCAAACACTAACGCAAGGCACTCTCTCTCAGTTGTTGAATAGTTTTTTTGTTCTTTGCTTAGTGTTGTCGATGCATGATGCACTGGTCTTTCCTGACCACTATCATCCTTTTGGGAAATACTTGCTCCCAGTGCATGAGAAGATGCGTCAGTGTCAACAATAAAAGGTCTATCAAATCTTGGATATGCCATGACATCATAGGAGATCAGAATGTCCTTCAAACTTTGAAATGCCGTAATTTGAGCAACAGACAAGGATATGTCCCTTTTTCTATGTTCCTTCCCAGTCTTGACAGCATCATATAGGGGTTTTGCTATTGAGGCCATGTCCTTTATGAACCTTCTATAGTAGTTCACTTTTCCAAGGAACCTTTGAACTTGAGCAACTGTTGTAGGCACTGGTAACTCATTGATAACTCTCACTGCTTCTGGATTGGGTCGAACTCCTTTGTTGTCTACCAAATAACCCAAATACAATACAGATTCTTGACAGAATTTACATTTCTTAGGGTTTAGGCGAATGTTGTGTTGTCTAAGTCTCTCAAAAACTTTACGCAGGGCTCTGATATGACCCTCAAATGTCTTAGAGAAGACAACCACGTCATCCATGTAAACCAGCACCTCTGTATGTGTCAGGCCCTTCATTACTAGCCCCATCAACCTCTGAAATGTGTGAGGAGCTCCCTTGAGTCCAAAAGGCATTCGCACAAATTCCCAATGCCCAGTTCGTGTAGAAAATGCTGTATACTGCCTACTCTTTTCATCTAAAGTCACCTGGTGATACCCACTTGTGGCGTCGAGCGTTGTAAAGTACATAGCATCAGCAAGACCATCTATGGCATCCTGAATCAATGGTATGGGGTAATGCTGGTCTACTGTTTCATCATTCAAAAATCGACTATCATGGCAAAATCTCCATTTACCCCCTTTCTTTGGTACAAGCAATACTGGTGACGAATATGGTGAAACTGATGGCTGTATTACACCATTATCTAGCAACTTCTCCACCTCAGCATCAATAATCTCCATTTCTTTTGGACTATAACGGTATGGTCGACGATGAATCACTTTATCACTTTTTAATTCAATGCGATGCTTGATCAAAGATGTGTTCCCGAGATCTCCTTCAGTTTTTGAAAATATTTCCTCATACTCATCTAAAGTTGTCATGAGTTCCTCCACCTGCTCATTTGAGAGATGATTTACTTCTCCCCTCCAGCAATCTCGGGCCTCAGTAAATAAATTAGGCTCCACTGATACTTGTTGGATGGTGTTCCATATTGGCAAGGTATTGCTACCCTGTAACTCCTCCCCAAATGGATCATAAACCTTTTCATAGTCCTGCAATGCAGCAGGTGAAAATATTCCCATTTTAGTTCCTTTATACAGTGGCCTGGGTGTAGATTCTGGATTCATCACTTTCACTTGCACTGAGCATTTGAGGGCATCTGTCCTGCAAAGACCTTTTGCTGCTAATATGTGCTTCTTTCTTGAAAGATGATCATCTGGAGTAAATATTCCTGAAACACCGTGAATGCGCTCTGGCAGTTTGGCTTCTACCCAAGACATACTTTCTCCAGGAACAATAACATCCGCAGCCAATGAAACATTGCACACTTTGTTCAGCGAACTGGGGGCTTCACATAGGTCCATCCTCTCTTCATCCAAAACTATGACTCTTTCTTTCTTCTTGACACTCCAACATGAAAACTGACTGAGGACGTCCTGACCTAGTAGAGCTGTTCTAGTCGCACCCTGAATCACATATATGGGTTGAGTAAGCTTTCTCTCACCAAACCACAAAGTAATAGACACCTTCCCCAGCACACTGATACCAGAACCATCTGCAGATACACAATCAATTGAAGATCCAGTTGTATCAAGTGCATAATCCGCAAGTTGCATTTTGTACGTGACATGATCAACAACCGATATCTTAGCCCCTGTATCAATCATCCACATCATCCATTGGTCTGGCTGACAAGTACCAATACCAACCCGTATAAGCAAGGCTGATGGAGATGGGGCATCTATTGCTGCTATCTTCTGAGACTTACTTCCATCAGCCTCTGTAGAATCACTCTGTTGAGAAGTATTCCCAACTGATTTGCTTTGCTTGGGCGAGGGACAATCCCTTGCCATATGTCCAGTCCCAGAACAATTAAAGCACCGCAATGGTCTCCTGGGCTGCATCTCCTTCCGTGACCAACAATCCTTTGCTATATGGCCTGGCTTATCACAATTATAACATCGCCTCGGCTGTGATTGCTGCGATGACTGTTGGGGTTCTACATGATTATTTCTACCTTCACCCTTAATAGACATTGACGTAACCATCAACTGTTTCAGTTCTTGAATTTCCGATTCCAGTTTAGTCATTCTGTCTTCCGATACACCCCCTACTGCCCCTACTACTGCTTTATCTGTGGTAGTTTTACTCTGCCGCGTAGCTTCCCATACCCTAGTAACTGCTGTTAGTAGTTCATCTTTGGCCAGTGCCTGGATATCCGTCTGTTTGGCCACATCTTCCACTAGATTGGAGGGTAAAGCCTGTAAGAATTGTGTTTTCACTAATATCAGTCTTGCTGCATTACCAACTTCATCCGCAGGATATACGAGCTTTGACTGGTCCCAAAGTTTAGAGAAAAATGCTTTTGGAGAGTCGGTACCAATAACCATTGCCAGGTACTTGTCCATTGCAATCTTCCTCGTGGGCTTAATCTCCTTCCCAATTGCCTTGGCTAGGTCAGCATATGACATATCTTCCATCTCATCTAATAGCCGTTCGTATTCCTCCAACACCTTCCCGGAAATTACTGTTCCAAGCATGATCACCTTAGTAGCATCAGGCCAGTTATTCGCCGCAGAAACTCTATCAAAATGCTTCAACCATGTATCCCAGGATGCTGAACCTGCATCAAATGCCCTAGGGGTAACTGCTTTCCTATATTCCCGACCTGGATTCCCCTGTTGACCCCCTTGAGGCTGTACTGGGTCTGCTTCATTCCCCTCGTGAGGCGCGTTTGCGTCTGCCATTACTGCCACCAATATAAAAGAGTGTTATCTTACCTACTGACTCTGTTCTCGCCTGGGGTGTTGACCAGAAGCTACCTCATGTAATGTACTATCACTTCAAATGTTCTAATTTGGTTTGTACTCAACTTCCTTAATTATGAATATACACTTCTTCTTAATTCTGTATTTACTCTTTCGTAGTCCCAAGCGTCTTTGCTCCCAATATGATCTTCTCTTAATTTGCTTCTTCAATATTTTCCACTTATCTAACTCACCCTTCTTGAATCATGGAATTCCCTTGCTATTGCTGATATTGTACCTAACAATGACATTGTGTCTACCTGACTGGTCAATCAAACATACACAAATCTATCTTAATAACCTTAACTATCTTAAACTCTATCTCACTTTAATTATAATAACTTCACCACTTCTTCAATGAGTCTCTTTCTCACTTTAATTGTTAATCAACTAAGAACACAAAGTATCTATCTCACTTTAATCACTAATGAACATATACGCTGATTCTATATCTCTAAGAACTTCTGTGCCTTTGCCTTCTAATCGTGAAGGTACAATTGTTCTGTGCCTTGACTTTGGCTTGCAAATTGTTCTGTGCCTTGACTTTTAATTGTTCTGTGCCTTGACTTTGACTTGACTGTGTCTTTATCTTGACTTGAGTCTTGACTTGAGTCTCTACTTACTTCTCTAACTTGACGGGGGAGGAGTTCTTACTGAAAACATACCAAATTACTAGTTTATACTATTCTACACCTTTATTTTTTCTTTTACTTTATTTGCAGATGAGGAAATTCAGTTATGCCAGAACAGGGCCTGCAGTATCAAGGGGCCAGCTATGAAGGTAAGAACAAGTCACTTAATTAAATAAGGGATTTGGCATCAAGGCATCTAAAATGTTTCTTTTTTATTTTATGTATTTTAAAAGGCACCCCCCATCCAAGTTAATGCAAGTCAATTATATAATAAATGTGCCATCAAAGTAAATAAAATTCAGTTCTGTAAGAAGTCTGTCATCAAGGTATCTTGTTTTGTCATGTTTTGTTTTATCATGTTTTGCAAAATATTTTCTGTTTTAATCCCACTTTCAATTAGCTTGAAAATGAGATAAAAAAAATGATGTTATTATTTAAGAGGGTCAAAATAAAGACATTCAACAACTTGGGTTAGAGCTTTCATCAGAAATGATTTGAAATTATTTCACATTTTATTATACTGTGAAATGTGTCTGTATTACAGTTTTGAATAAGAAAAGGTAGAGATGATATAGGTTATGGCTATTCAGTCAGGTCCTATTTAACCTAGAGATATCATAAAATCATTCATGTACAAATAAAACTTGAAAACATCATTTCATAACCTGGTCACATCTCACATGTAAGTTTTCTTAATTCAAATGGATATGGATGAAATATAGACTTCATTCCCTTAATAGTTAAAAGATGGAGCTGTGTTATTTTTCGTGATCTGTAGATGTTTGCTGTGATTTGTAATACAAATTCTCATTTCACACAGTTATTAGTCAGATCTCATGATACCATGAGCTTGCTCGGCTAAGGCACATGGCTATATGTTTCAGCAAGCTCAGGCCCATAGCTAGGGAGGGGGTATGTGTGAGTGAAACCCGTCTGGCCAAAAAAATTCAAAATAATTCAGGTTTTCATCATTCTGAGCACTTTTCTAATGACGTGGGGGCCAAAATGGTCAAATGTGAACCCCCCTGGAATTTAAAAAAAATGAACCCCCCTTGTCAAATCCTGGCTACAGGCCTGGTTCAGCTCAATGTGGTTCCTCTAATGCTCATGGTATGCCGAGGTCTGGTTAGTGCCTGTGAGTTCAGGAGTTCTAAATGAATAATCTGTCATATATATGAGCTGAAACTTCATTGGTCTCAATGAATCGTGTTTAATAAAGTAGGATCTTAAGTTTCCATTCCAAATATCATTTTAAAAAATGACAAAGAGAAAATATTTTTATAAAGTTACAAAAAAGAAAAGTATATTTTTGCTCTCTTCATAACTACATGTATGTCACCTAAACTATGTCAGTTTTTTTAAAATTCAATGCCGAAATACCAAAACAGGTCATTGTTGAAAATGTAATGATTTGAAAAGATAAGCTTTAATTGAATGCAGCAATGTGTTTTGAAAGCTAATATGCATGTATAAAACAATTTTAAAACTAATAAATATTTGTGTATAAGGTATGGATATTTGCACAAATTCTAGTTATTTTGATAGGAAAGTAAAAAAAATGGAATGAATAGTATTCAAGAGTAGACTGACTGAAAGTAGATGATCACAATTTACTGTATAATGATTTACATTGAGAATAAGGTGTGATTTTACACTTTTGTATTGTTTGATGATTTTTAATTCCGCCACTCAAAGATCTTCACTTGAAATTCAATCTTTGAAAGTCAATGTGAAGCATGTCTTTAATACCAAGTGGGAACTTGAATGTTGACAATACACTTCAACCAATATGTGTATTAGATGTACAATGTATTAAATTATGTAGTACAAATTGATGAAGATCAAGTGTTTTTAGGGATATGGTCCACAGAAGAAAGTTCTTTTTTTATTTCATCATTCATCACTTTGCATTATATATTTTTATGTTGCATCATATTTGTATTTTAACTTTTAGTCATGCTATTTCTTCCGAAATATAGAGAATTGTAAAAAAATGAAGAAAAAAATTATACTTACAATTGTGCGTTTATCCATGTTGCTTTATTATTAACCCGAATGATATTTCCCATCATGTTAGATTGTGTGGAAGATGGCATATAAAAGTATCGTTCAGTATTTATAATTTTATTTATTCTAAATAAACTTAGTGAAACTATATGAAAACAGATGCTTCACGACTTAAAAAAGTTTGATTTGCATGTTTATAAAAGTTCTTCATCTATAAACCTACTATTACAAGCTACATTGCCTCCAGATAATTTAAATTAAAAAGTGACAAGGAAAGGAAAGCTGTGAAGTGGAACACCTCTGAAGTAGAACACCTCTGTTAGTAGAACACTTCAGACTCCCAAGACCAAATGGCTTAATGTTAAATGAACCTTTATAAGTGGAACACCTCCCAAGTGGAACGCTATTTAGAGGTCCCAAAGGTGTTCCATTTAGACAGGTTTTTTCTGTATGATTGTAGTGAAGAAGTATTGAACCAAATGAACTGTAGTTTGCTTTGACCTTGTGAATAGAAAGTAAGGTGTGTTGCAAAGTGATCATTTCTTTTGATCAGTTTTAAGAGCTATTTGTGTTAAAATATCACTCATGTCCAAATCTTTTAAAACAATATCAAATCATATCTGAAACATTGAACTGCATTTACCAGAAAAACAACTCGAAAATAGATTGAAATGCGTCATCTAAAAAGCCCGCCTTTTGATTTTGGCAATAAAATTTGGGACTTTTGGCATGAAAAAGGCTGCACTGACGTAAATGTGAAAAATTACTACAGTTTAATGACCCATCATTTCAGATGAAGTTGCACACTTTCGTTCACAGTAAGTCACCTTGATGAAATGCCTTAATAATTTTGTTAGTCACCTTCATGCACTGTTTAACATGACGTTCTAACCCATTGGGCATGTGCATGTATAACATGCTGTGAACTTCACTTGCTTGGTAATAATAATCTATTTATTGGGACTATATTTTTTGAATATGTATTTTGAAAATGTTTTGAATTTGTTAAATTGTATTATTTTAAACCTAAAATCAACTCTCATTTAATTATTAGGTGCTCATACTTTCACAAAGTTTAAACAACATACCTCATGATCGGGGCAACTGGAATATGTTGACACGAAAAATCAACTAAATGTATACTACATGTATATAATATTGTACGATGATTAATTTCAAAATGTTTGATAGGACTACATGCAATTACTATTTCATCAAGTCTTAATAATGAAACAGATTACATGATGACAGTATAATATTATGTCATTACCACAAGTGGTGTTTGGCCTCTGTCATTTGGTGGTTGACGTTCGGAGTTGGGTATCTGTAACATATGGCAGGTGGTGACATTTTGCATGTTTATGCCTTGTTATTCATTATATCCCTCTTCTCTGAAATCTCATTGTATATTATTTTGAGGGAACCGTTGCCCAAATTGTTGATTTTAAATATCTGGGACTCCCTTTGCCAAAACCACCACCACCACTAATTATGTTCCGGGCCCGATATTTCATTTCTCGAATTGAAAAGGACAAAGGGCAACATTTAAAAAGAGAACCTACATATAAATCACTCAAACCATTGTATCAAGGGGGAGAGTAGAATTTCCACCTGTGACATTAACAGGTCATTGTGACCCTGTATGTTACCTAATGTCCAGATGTGGTTTAACCTTATCTACTAAATACATTAATTTTACTACATATAAAGGATGATGATAAATGAACCAACTAAATTATATTATTTTGATTTTGTCATATCATTTTACAAGTACTTTGGTTATTTTAATCTTTGTATATTCTGCAACTTTCAAAAATGGAACATATACTTCACAGTTCACAGTTCCCTCAATGTTTGTGCGGTTTTCGATCTCAGACAACCCAAAACCTATTCTTTTCTTGCCCCCTATTACTTTATACTTGATCTCAGGGAACAACTAGCACTCGACCTTGCAAGAATACCCAATTTCAACATTCACCATTATGACAAACTAAATGCAAAAGAGAAACTAGATACATTGTTATATGGTGGCTCAACATATCAAATTGAAACTAACAAGCTTATAGTCACAGCATCTGCTAACTGTGAAAATCGACATAAACCACTAATGACAATGGCCTTGGCCCATTGTCGGACATTGTGAAATGATACTATTGATAAATAAAACATAAAAAAAAGTTCCCCAATTACACATGTCATATTATGAAGGTTATATTTTTAATACTTTATACTTTTTCACTAACCTTGTTTACGTATGTGTTCATTGAAATGTATGTCTAGATTATTCTCATAAATAATGCCTATAGATCTCACTTCAATTTTCTGTCTCAGGTTTCAATACTCAATGACCCCATAATAATTTTTAAAATAAAACTGGAAAATCATGTTTTTAGTGAATTTTTATCTCATTGCAAGTAATGAGATACTTCTGTTGTATTTAGTGCACTTTTAATTTGATAGAATACATAAAAATTATCTCTAAATTAATGGTTATTTAGGATTCGTGATTTAAGTTTTAAATCAATAGACTTTGAATATCATGTTTGATCAAGGTCATTTAGATTGGCATATTTTTCTAAACTATTTATTTTGAGAGGCACATATTTTCATTGGGCAACATAACATCATGTAGATTAAACAAATATCCAAATATGTATTTTTTAAGCTTAATAATTCAATCTGAATTCTGAAGGGTATGGTAAATACATTCAAATGAAAGATCATAAAGGTGGGGTCAGTTCTTTTTATTTTCATTTGGGTGAAATAGCATTGGACTAAATGGACCAGTCGCGGTATCAGTATTGACCTTATAAATGTTTTTGAGCAGCAAACAGTGCTTGAGAATGCAATATTTACAGTCAAGTCAATCTTCTTTCATGTCTCCAAATATCCATGTGTGCATAGGGATAAATCCCATATCATATGTCAACCCATTATTTTATTTTATGTCATTTTTATCCCAACCCTTGTCATGCACCAGCAAAAACAGGATGTATGTCCATTGTGAATTTACTTCATAAAAAGTATATGCATTAGACATGTACTTTTATAGATAAGTACCCTCAGTGTCAAAGCCTAGTATATTAGACGAAGCTCTCTTTTAAGTATCAAAATCAAGTTATAGTAAAGGGTATAATAGGTA